GGCACGCCAGCTGCTCTTCGGACGTTCCCCAAGAGTTCCCCAATGCCCCAGAAGCAACCACAAAGCAAGGGTGTGCGAATGCTTCCAGGAAGCATCCCTCGACTCAACGACCGCCGAGCCGAAAAGTCAACATCCGCCGATGTCAAGGGTTTAGGGTTCCCTAGAAAATCCCTTAAAGGGTATATATAGGGCCCTAATTTCCTCATTCCCTAGTAGGAACCAGGGGGTTTAGGGTTTAGAGGCAACCCCGCCCTCGTCCAGTCCCCAGAAATCTGCTGCCGGGAGGCTGGGGAAGAGCGTCGTTTCCTTCCTCTTCCTGGGGCCAGCGGTGGCCGAAAGAGCTGCCAGGGCTGGAGTCTTCTCAGACTTCTTGCTGAGTCCGTACCAGCGCGCGGAGTTCGTGATCCGTGCTATCGAACCCATTGCGGTGGAGTTGGTGCCCTTTACACATGAAGTTTCTCTGGGTTGTATAGATAGAGGGTTTTGTACAGGGATTGGTGCGCCGTAGCTAGTGAAGCACGTGGGGTTAAGGCTCTCTTCTTCCCCGCCCCGCCCCCCCCCCCACCCGCCCCGCATTTGCAAACATAAGGCTCGCGTGACGGGTTTGGAAGGATTTGTAGTATTCCTTCCTTGCTTTCTTCCTGGCTTTCTTCTAGCTGATTTCTTTTGATCCTGAACTCGACTGTGGATTGCTAATCCGGTGGTTTTGATGCGAAGTTGTTTTTGCTTAACCCCTAAACACCCCTAAACCTAACCCCCCCCCCTCAGCCCCCCTAAACCACTCAAAACCCCTACCTCAGCCCTAAACCCCAAGCCCTGAAAGCTACCCCCCAAAGTCAGTGGGCGCAGGAGTTCCTACTGCTGCACTCAGCTGTACCCGAAACCTCAAAAAGCAATCTCTAAACCTCCCAAACCCCCCAAACCCTACGCCCCAAACCCTAAACCCTAAACCCTGAACATGCCCACGAAACCGGTCCTCCACGACGGGGGGTGGTCCGTTCAACCGAACCCACACCTCTGCTGCGCTCAGCCGGGGAACTGCGGGTGGGTCTAAGTCTCAGGTTTAGGGCTTCGGGTCTATGCTGGGGTTTAGGGTTTAGGGTTTAGGGTTTAGGGTTTCGGGTTTAGGGTTTAGGGCTTAGGGTATAGGGTTTAGGGATGAGGGTTTAGGGTTTAGGGTTTTAGGGTCTAGGGTATAGGGTTTGGGGTTTAGTAGGGTTGAGGGCGAGCCCTACACCCTAAGCCCTACACCCCCAAAAGCACGCAAATCCCTCAAGTCACGGACCAAAACAAGCACAACACTCAGGCTAAAGTCTCTTGAGAGTGTAGGATTTGCACTGTGCATATCTGTTCCTATGCTAGCATGCTTGAGACGCTCACAACCCCACACCTTTGCTTCATGTTTAGTGGTTTTTCAGACCTAGGACTTCTGCAAAACCTCTTTTGCATGGCCAGGCACGTCGTTGTCCGACCATCTGAGGCTACCGTCCTGCTCTCGCACAAGGTGTACCATGTGGCAATGATTCTCAATGGGCTTCGGGTTTGAGAGGGCAATTTGAGTGGGTTCCCCCGCCCCCCCCCCCCCCCCCCCCAGCCCACCGCTTGACGCCGGCAGGGTCCTCTTGCAAGGCCCCGCGAAAAATCTCCCCACCGAGCCTTAGAGTTCGTGCACATTTTATGTATGTGTGTATGTATATGCGCATATATACCGAGCCTTAGGCCTGAAAGGTGTCTGGGGCTGAGTGGCTTAGGGCTGACTGGGAGCGGTGGGGGCCCGAATCTGATCCCCCTCTGCCATAGAGTATCTAGCGCCGAAGGCAGCAGTCATCAAGCAAGTTCTCCAATGTAGCGCTGAGCTGGCTTCTACAATGCACGCAAACCCTGAACCCTAAACCCGAAACACGAAACTCCAGTTCTCCCCTTCTTTGCTGCGATACCAGGGCACATCGTGGAGACAGAGTCCGAGCTCCAAATTTCGAGCTCCGACTCCTGCAAGGCACCGAGGGGTCATGATCGGCACATTGATTGGCATGTAAAGCCTGTAAACCCCTACACTTGGGATGTTGCCCCCCCCTTATACTAACAGTCCCTAATGGGGTCTATAATGGGGGGTGCTCTCATCCCTAGTAAGGACTGTTCGAATAAGGGGGAACATCCCAACCCTGAACCCCTAAAACCCTTAAACCCTAACCTTGAAACACGTGGAGAGAGCCTTGCTCTACTGCAACCAGGTCCTCTCCCCAGTGCCAATTTATCACCGCGTCGTGAATCGAACAGCGCGCCTTCCGTCACATGGCACACCCGATTCTAAGCCTTAAAACTCGCAAAAAGCCTCAAGAACCCGGCACCGGATACACACGCGCGCACACAGACACAGACACAGACACAGACACGGACACGGACACGGACACAGACACAGACACACACACACACACACACACACACACACACACACACACACACACTCATAATGCAACAAAAAGCATGCCGACCTACAAGATTTGAAATACGCCACCAGTGATCGTTCACATGTACAGCTCATAGTTGCCGCAGATCTTCCCGCACAGCGTATCTAGACAGCCATTCTACATGCGGCATGTGCACGCATGCATCCATAATTCTGTGATCACCCAAGTGGTTGCTGAGGTGGAACTGTGTGTTTGCGTGCATGCTTCTCGACACGTGTCTGTTCAAGTGCCCACTTTGCCGAACGTCCACTTGATTGTTCTATTTTTGTTGTGTTCCGGTAGGGAGAAAAGAAAGATTGAGCTGAAGCAGAGAATCAGACGGAGAAAGTACAACGAGATACAAGCTCTTGCTCACACAGGGAGGCAGGGGGCACACTTGACGGAAGTGTGATCAAAGGTTCTTTTGCTCAACGATAGAACGACCTATGTCCGTTGGCACACTCTTCCACAGTTGCTGATCCAATGCCACCATCATTGCCAGCAGCAAAAAGATGTTGCCATGTACTTCGATGTTTAGGGTTTAGGGTTTAGGGTTGAGGGTTCAGGGTTCAGGGTTCAGGGTTTAGGGTTTAGGGTTTGGGGTTTGGGGTTTAGGGTTTAGGGTTTAGGGTTTGGGGTTTAGGGTTTAGGGTTTGCACTCTTGTCCGTGCACACAAAGATCGGTGGTGAACTAATGGGGTCAGTAGGCAGCCAATTTCAGTCATGCAGGTGGGTGTGCAGGCACCTACTTCTCCTTCCCTCAATTCCCGAATTCCCTACTTGGAAGTTCATGGGTGCGCGAACCTCCCAGTACGACCAGCCAGTTAGTTCAACTTCTTGGGAACCCTAAACCCTAAACCCTAAACCCTAAACCCTAAACCCTAAACCCTAAACCCTAAACCCTAAACCGTGGCAGATGATGTCGCTGAGGGCTTTAGGAAAAGTTTAGAATCTCGATATCTGGAGCTCATCCCGAGCAGACTTCGTAATCCCCTAAACATTGTACCCTAATCCAGGAACACTCTCTCCCCCCCCCAGCCCTAAACCCTAAACCCTAAACCCTAAACCCTAAACCCTAAACCCTAAACCCTAAACCCTAAACCCTAAACCCTAAACCCTAAACCCCCCGCATCTTCGGCCTGCCCGTCTTCGCGACCCACCCAGACGTCATCGAATCCCTGCGTGCGGCACACCAGCCTGCATGGGTTCTTAAGGGTTGAAGGGTTTCAGGGTCTAAGGGTCTAAAGGGTTTAAGGGCTTAAGGGTTTAACAGCTTAAGGGTCTAAGGGTCTAAGGGTCTAAGGGTTTCAGGGTCTAAGGGTCTAAGGGCTTCAGGGCTTAAGGGTTCTATAAGGGTTCTATAAGGGTTCCACAGGAGCTTCATGCTTTCCAGAACCGCGCTTAAGGGTTCTATAAGGGTTCTTAAGGGTTCTTAAGGGTTGAAAGGTTCTTAAGGGTTCTTAAGGGTTGAAGGGTCTAAGGGTTTAAGGGCTTAAGGGCTCATAAGGGTTGAAGGGTTTAAGGGTTGAAGGGCTTAAGGGCTTAAGGGCTTAAGGGTTTAACAGCTTAAGGGTCTAAGGGTCTAAGAGTCTAAGGGTTTAAGGGTTTAAGGGTTTAAGGGTCTAAGGGTCTAAGGGTTCTTAGGGTTCTTAAGGGTTTAAGGGTTTAAGGTTTTTTAGGGTTTAAGGGTCGAAGGGTCTAAGGGTTTAAGGGTTTAAGGGTGTTTAGGGCTTGAGGGTTTAAGGGTCTAAGGGTCTAAGGGTCTAAGTGTTTAAGGGTCTAGGGGTTAGAGGGTTTACTCTCCAGAGCAATCGCCAGCTATTGCAAACCCTGGTGGGGTCTTTTGGGTGGGTGTTCGTTCCACTCAGAACGAGCATTCTCTGACCCATCCAGGTACCTCCACCCCTGAATCGGCACCTGGAAAAAAGTTCCGTGACTCGTTTTCGGGGCAGGATGACTTGCTGATGCGGCTTCCAGGGAATTGGATGCTAGTATCTCCCTATGCCTGCCACCCGGCCGCATTCAGGAAGGCAAACCATACCACGCCCAGACCGCGAACCCTACAATCAACCCACGCCAAGTTCTGGAAAAGGTCACTCATTCCTGCCTTGCTCCTAGTTGCTGAGTACCCTGAGCCAAAGAAGGCTAACCTTTCAATTAGGCTAGAATATGTCCCAAGAGGTTCTCCCTGGCTGGTGGCAAGATGACAGCCACTGTTCGGGCAGAGGACGCGCAGGCCATGCGTGAAACCTGCATATGAACAAACAATTTCTCCCGTCATCAAGAACCCCGGAGTGCCACAAGTTGTTGTTGCCTCAATGAGCGATGCGACCACGGATCTTGAGCTGTACAAACACATGCACGGATTTGCGCATGTGGGACTTTGCGAGGAATTGGGGAAAGGCGCGACTTCAATGTCTTGCTTGAGTCGCAATCCAGTCGTGCTTAGCACGACTGCAAAACTAGAGTTTTCTGGCACAAGACAGACTTCTGTTGGACTCTGTGTGGTGCCTAAGATCCCAGTCGGGTCTACCTTGCAACCAACTCCACAACTCAAAAGAAGTAGCGGCAAGCAAGGAAGCCAAGGATCACGGACCCGATGTTCAAGTGCCCCGCTGCTGAAGCTGTTGCGCCTCCTGCAGTTGTAGACACAGTGCACTCAGGGAAGGTAACGATCCAGGATGACGTGCCGTTCTCGACTGGCGTGCATGGGCCCTGCTCATAGACCTGCGTCGTTGCTTCACCGCTGCAGTCGTTGGTGGTGTACACGTGGTAAGCGATCGATCCTTCACTGCACGTGAACTGCTGGGAGGTGGTCGAGCCGGTTGCTGTGCACGGCCCCAAATCGACGGAGTACGTGGCATCCAGCACGGAGCAAGCGCCGTCCGTGTGGACGCTGATGTTGCCCGAAATGCCTGCAAACGGGGTCGTTGTGGTGGTAGTGCAAAGTTCGGCAACTTCATCGTCGGAGCCGAGAATGATGGTTCTCCCATACCGACCCCCGCCCATTGCAGAGCACGAGCCCAGATCGTAAGAGCTGGGGGAGCACATCTGACTGCCGGTACAGTCGCTGTTGCTGTACCAGCAATTCATTTGCTTATCTCCGTAGCACGACGACAAGCGGGTGACGAATCCCGGGACGTCACTCGAGGCAGTGCAGAGGTAAGCACTCAAGGAAGTCGTCACTGGCGCACCGGAACAGGTGTCATCGCCCACATCATAGATGGTCGTAAGTTGCCCCGGGGCTGACACCAGCTTCACCTTCTCGTACACGCCTGCAGCGGATTCCACGCACTCCTCCAGCTTCGTGGTGGTGTTCACGTTGGGCGTATCGGAGCACTCGGCAGTGACGTTGTAGTGGCTGTAGGTCATCAGGTCCGTTCCCTCGACAACGAAGGCTTTCCCTGCAGCGCCATTTGCACCTCCACACCCCAGGCCCTGGGCCACTGTTCCGATGCGCCCCAGTTGGGTGACATCGGTCCTCGGGCGAGGCACTCTAAGGGAGTTGAAGCCCCTATGCTACAAGACGAAGAATCATGATAGTCGCTGTATCTCACTAGTAGTAGAAGAATATCAGAATACAATGGTACAATATAAGCTCAAACGAGTCTGCCTGATTTTGACCAGAGAGTCAAGTTGGTAGAGCAGTCGCTGCTGGAAAACTGCTCTTTGACAGCCCATTGGATGGACGAAGCAGAAGCACCCGCCTTCAGCATGGCCGAAGCAAGCACCAATCCTCTTGCCAGCATTTTGTCTGGCAGGACAGGTCTCAAAGGGCCCCACGGGAAGCACGGTCTCGCGCCAAGAATGTCTGAACCCATGCACACTTCACAAGAGCAGCGAGTGAAAACCCCGTACTGAAATCCTAGCCTCTCCTAGACCCTGATAAATCCGCACTGAAACCCTAAAGACATCTGCCATTCAATCCTGTTGAAACCCAAACTCAACCTGAACGAAACCGAAGCCACAACAAAGCCTCATGAAACCCCTAAGAAACCCTAAGGGAACCCTACAGTAAGTACTACTCTTTTGCAGGAAACCACTGCAGCTTACCTACTCAGCTACTAGGTGCTCTTGAAGAATGAACCGGAAGTTGCTGGAGAGAGAGCCACAAGTGCAAGCTTTCGGAGGCGGTGGAACCCCGGAGGAAGGCTGGATAACCCTTGAGCACCAAGCCTAGGATTGCATTAAAACCAGAATAACAAATCTTGCCAATATTTAGAGTTTAGGGTTAAGGGTTTAGGGTTCAAGGTTTAGGGTTTGACTTGCACTTCGTATAAGCGAGAATAGAAACGGACTCGTAAGGAGGCTACAGCGTGCCTGTTCAGCTGCGAGACGGACGCTTCAAGCACACCTTGACACTTCCGATTTAAAGGCGGCGAGCTTAGGTCAACCCACCCCATGTTGGTTAAGGCTTGTGGTTGGGGTTCATGGAACAAGGCTGCGCGGAATCAGAAATATGTAGAGTTGAAGGCACATCTTGAACCACGTCGGGACCTGCGTAATCAGAATGGGAAGTTGTCAGTGACTTTGGGTTCCTGTAAAGTAGACCGAAACCCTAAACCCTACAAGACCCCGGCCCCGGAACCCGAAGACCAGGCAGACGGCGTCAATGACCCTGAACCCTGAACCCTAAACCCTAAACCCTAAGCCCTAAACCCTAAACCCTAAACCCAAGGCGCTGCGAATCTTTGGCATGGCCTCGTCCGCCTGGGTCCAGTTGCGTAGGGTTTAGGGTTTAGGGTTCAGGGTTCAGGGTTTAGGGTTTAGGGTTTAGGGTTCAGGGTTTAGGGCTTTGGGTTTAGGGTTTAGGGTTTAGGGTCTAGGGTCTAGGGTCTAGGGTTTAGGGTTTAGGATTTAGGGTTGTGGGTTGTGGGTTGTGAGTTGTGGGTTGTGGGTTGTGGGTTGTGGGTTGTGGGTTGCGGGTTGCGGGCTGCGGGTTGTTTAGGGTGCGGTTTAGGGTTTGGGGTTCAGGGCTTGGGGTTTAGGGTCCGCCGACCCTGGCGACGTGTTGGATGGTGAAAACCCCCAAAAGCGGGGGGGTGGCCCCCTTGCCCCCCTGCCCCCCCCTGGGCTAAGTGATGCTTGGCTTCAACTGATCCCCGACTACGCACCGCCCAACCCCCTCCCCCTACCCCCTTATCCCCTTGCCCCCCACCCCTCACCCCCCAACCCCCCCACCCCCCCCCTACCCCCCCCCCCTACCCCCCCCCCCTACCCCCCCCCTACCCCCCCCCCCCCCCTACCCTCCCCCCTACCCGGTTTGTTGGGCTTCAAGCTGGTTCAGCTCCTGTTTGGGTCCAAGTGCTACCCCCTACCCCCCCCCCACCCCAACGTTTCACACATTCTCACCTGAAACCTTTCAACTATGCTCCAGCGCGGTCGGCGGCTTGAGCCGGAGGCTCTTAAATTTAGGGTTTCGGGTTTGGGGTTCTGCTGTCTGCTCGGAGAACTCAGCAAATCCAGTCGTTCGATAGGCCAACCCGAAACCCTAGACCCTAATCCCTAAACCCGAAACCCTCATCCCGAAACCCTAAACCCTAAACCCTAAACCCTAAACTCCAAAAACAGGGACCCAAGATGCCTGAGACTTCAGCTGGTCGGCGACCTCCTTGGCCTCTCGCGCCTCCCAGTCCTCCTCGGATTCTAAGGCCCGCTACAGAGGTGGGCTACGGGCCAGAAGCAGAAAAAAGTTGGGTTTGGGGTTTTTAGGGTTTTTAGGGTTGCTTATGGGTTCTGTTTAGGGTTTTTAGGGTTTTTAGGGTTTTCAGGGTCTTTAGTTTTTAGGCTTTTTAGGGTCTTTAGGGTCTTTAGGGTCTTTCGGGTTTAGGGTTTAGGGCTTACAGAGTTGCATAGGTTGCATCCGGAGTTTGTGCCTGAAGAAAGTTGATTTGGCAATTGGTGAAGGCACAAAATGGTCAAAAATCGCTAAAAATCTGCCATTTGGGGGTTGCCAAGGCCGCAAAACTGGCTTAAATCCCTATGCTTGGCTTTAGATTGGGGCTCACAAAGCCCCCATGGTACGAGATTTTGCCAAACTAGCGAAAATCCCTATGTCTTGGCCTTAATTGAGGATTTGGGAAGGCCCAACATGATCAAAAACAACGGAATTTACTATTTGGGTGAGTTTTCCAAGGCCGCCAGACTAGGGAACATCCCCATGCTTGTTTCCCTAGATTGCAGGTTTGAGAAAGCCAAAGATGATAAAAAACAGCCAAAAAAAGCACCAAAAGTTGCTATTTGAGGGGTTTCCGAGGCTGCGTGAGGAGTCGTGAAGACCCAAGAAATGGCCAAACATCATTACAATGACTACAATTGGGCATTTGGGTGCTTTCCAAGGGGGAAAATCCCTGTGGTTTGCATTAATAGAGGCTTGTGGAAAAATTGTCACTGGTCATTTGGCAGGGGGGGGGGGGGGGGTCCCAGGGTAAAACTCCCGGTTTGTGAAAAATGGCGAACACCCAAGGCCACCAAACAAGGGAAAATCCCTATGTGCTGGCCCTAATTGAATGTTTGTGAAGCGAAATGGTCCAAGTCCAAAATCACTAAAAATTGGCCATTTGGGGTGCTTTGTGAAGGCCCAAAAAGGTCAGAAATCACCCACATTGGCCATTTCCAAAATCACCAAAACAAAATAGCCATTTGGAGGGTTTCCAAGGCCGTCAAATGAGCGAAATCTTTTTGTTTCAGCCCTAGGTTGGGGTAGAGGAGCAGTATGGCCAAACATCACTTGTATCGGCTTTTGTTTTTAATGCACCACTGTGTGCTCGGTGAAGCTATACAGTTTCTATTTCGGGTTTCGGGTTTAGGGTTTTGGGTTGAAGGTTTAGGTGTCGTCGATGGCTCCCGTCCCCCCACGACCCTCTGATCTCTCTGTACCCATCACAGCAGCAAACACTTGTAATCCAACAGTACGCGGATCAAAGAACCGCCAAGAAACGAAGGAAACAACCAAAACTGACAAGGAGCGTCGAACACGTAAACAACGATTCGCGTACATTTCAGTCACCAGGAGGCCCATCCAGCCCGGGTCTTAGTTGGCCTTCTGGGCCCCCTGTTGAAATGAAGATTGAAGAATCGGGCGGGATGCTTGTATGTACAACAAGCGGCAAAACACGCAGAGCCCCAAACGGGGCGACAATCACATTGGGAGGCTTTGCTTTGGCCATAGACGAGCAGACACGAGGGACCGGCGCGGAGCACTACCCAAACTCCCATGGATTTCATATCAACACCGGTATTCCCCAAAATTAGGGGGACCCCTAAGATACCCCAAAATAGAATACAATCCCCTTAAAAAGGGACCCCCAACCCCCAGTGTCGGAAACCCCGCACAGAGCAAAATTCCTATGTGGGGCCATTGCTGCCGGAGCGCCCAAACCTTGAGTGCCGCATCCATCGCCTCGCCCGTGCGGGTGGCAAGCTGATCCTGCCATGCCAAGGGGGTTCAGGGGGTTTAGGGGGTTCAGGGGGTTTAGGGGGTTTAGGGGTTTAGGGGGGGGGGTTTAGGGGTTTAGGGGGTTTAGGGGGGTTAGGGGGTTTAGGGGGTTTAG